CACCATGAGTCCGCCCTCCTTGGGCCCAGTCAGAGCTGGGCTCTTAATATTGTTATTCTATTGCTTTTGTGTGTGTTCAGGTCTGTCTGGCTCATGGAACTGTGAGCTCTTGGAGGATGGGATCATGTCTTTTTCATCTTTGTAGCTGGTCCAGAATCTTAATCAAGGAATGAATGAATAAATACATGTTTAGAAACAGTCAAGCTCATACAGTACATCCCCAGATGAAACTAACCCTACAAAGGGAAATCACGCTACCACGTGCCTGATCTCTGAGAAGGAGTTCTGTCCCTGTGTCCAGGGCAGTCACAGACCTCTGAGGTATAGATCTTTGCTTTTTGGAATTTTCCATCTTAGGCCTTTTAGCTGTTGTCCTTTCTGCCATGATGACCAAGCACTCTGATATCCCCTACAAATTTGAGAACAGGGAGGCAAGGGTAGGTGGCTGTGGCCAGGCATGGTAGTTTCCATGTGTTACCCTGGGCAACAGGCCCCCATAAGAGGCATCTGAACAAAAAGTATCTTCTTGCATATTCTACCAGTTGGGGATCCTTCAGTTTTACAGGTTTATTGATGAGCAGCCATAATCCCCTAGGGAGCTGGGTCTGAAGGCTATCATTTAGGACAAGTTGCTCCAAGAGGTTAGGTCCTCGCACTGTTCAGAACTCAACAACGCGGACTGAGTTGGAAGCAATGGTATAACGAACAAGGAGGAAGGGCAGAGGGAGGAAGCGAAGGACGGTAGTTTATGTTCCACACTGATTTTCCAGGCTGGACTTAATTTTCACTAGCACCTTCTCTTGGAAAATGTGGCACCTCTTAAGTATTTGGCCTGGATTCTGACGTAAAGGAAAACACAGCTCATGGCCGAGAGAAGGCTGAGGGAGAGAGCAGCAGCATGAACTCAGCAATCAAGCCCCTACTGTGTGTCTGGAACTTTCTCCTGAAACCATCAAAATGGGCAGAGAAGAACAGCACAAGACAGCGAATCCTGGTTTTCTCCCTTCCTCTAAATCAAACCACACCAAATACACACACAACGCTCGAGGGGAACTCCACCAAGACCGTAAGAGAAGTTTCTCCTGTCCCGCTTCTCCCTCTGCTCGACTGTATGATTTCTCGACACTGACCTTTATTGCTTTAATGCTGCCCAGTACAGTACGGCCCTGGCAGGCCTGACTGGGTGGAGGAGAGATCACCCTTGTGAGGACCTGAACAGCACGCAACAAGAAAACCAGCCTCGCAGGCTCCTGGAAGCCAACAGTGACTTTTCCTCAGTGGGTTTCTCTGTGAGTGTGTGTGTATATACATACACACACGCGTGCGTTTTATTTTCTCCATTTCACATGTTCCTCAGTGAATGGCCTGCTTTCGAAGTGTGGAAGATAATCCATTAGTGACCGGGTTGAACCTGTTTCCTGAGAAAATTCCTCCGGGGTGGTGGGGTGGTCATTTCCAGGGACTGGCTGGGAGCCCCTGTATGGAACAATTCAGCAGGTCACCTCAGAGGACCTCTCTTGCTCCTTCATTAGCCAAGAGGAAAGCCTGCATGCGGTAGTTTTCTGGAGTGGCAGCTTTCCATGGGGGTAAAGGATGGGAAATCTCGCCATGCCTGAGTGAGGGGAAACTCTAGGTCATCCCTGAAGACAGGGAAGTGGATTAAATCAGGGATTTAAATGTAGAGACACCACTTTAAAATGTATAGGCCTAATTAAAAAAAAAAAAAATCTCTAGAGGAAGCTATTGTACTGTAAGGTGGTTGAGAAAGAAATGATTTTTATGGAGAGGCACACTCCTTCCTGTTTGGAAGACATTAACAAGCCTGTCAAAGGATTCCTTAGAAGCTCTGGGCTTCCCCTTATTATTTTGGCTACTAAGTACTACCAGCAAACTCCTTACAGGGGGACTAGGAGAGGAGGCCTCTCTTGCTCCTTCATTAGCTGTGAGGAAAGCCCACATGCTGTGGCCTTCTGGAGTGGCGATGGCCCCAGTGTGCCTTGATGCTTCCCAGCCTTCCTCTGTGAAGTGTGAAGGAGCAGGCCAGGCTGCTGGTCGTCCCTGACAGAGGCCTCCAAACACCCAGATGTCCCAGAGAGACATCTACTTTTACGAAATGTGTTGACTTCATGTGCAGGAATAATATCAGTCAAAAAAGCTTCTTGGTCTACATGTAGGAGTTAAAAACCTCTGTCATAAGTTGCGGCTAAGGGAGGCTTTTTCATCCATCTCTGGGCACGTTTGACTCTTAAGATGGCAGAGGAATTTGGAGCAGGAGAGAGAGAGAAGCTTGGTGTTCACCTTCTAGGTTTATTCTAAGTCCAATGGAGCTCTGGCCAGGAAATCTTTTCATTCAAAATAGCTCTGAAAACCAAACATATGACCGAGAGGCTAGAACTAACGCTGTACGTACAATGGTTCTTTGTAGCACAAAAGGAAAAACCCAACACCAGGCTAGGTTTCCTGTTCTGCAGGAGGAGAAACGTTAAAACTCTAAAAGGTGACACGTCGTGCTTTATGGCCATCTTGCAATGGGGGACTTTAAGTTCAGATCCTGTTGCTGACAAAACTGAGCCCCGGAGGTGTTTTCCTTTTTCATCTCAACATCCCCTTCATCCTAAAATCTCAGGGGGAAAAACAATCCAAAATGCAAACCATTTTCAAAAAAACTTTCTTTTTAAAGCCAACGGCCCCGTGAAAACACGAGGTCAGCGGGGCTCAGCGTGTGTGTACTGAGTTTGGAGAGCTACGCAGAAGGCAGTGACCTATGAGCAACACATTTCAAAACAAAATTCACCCCAGACCTGTACAGAACAGTTTCAAAGCCTTCGGAATGACAGAGCATACATATTTTATGAATTGGTTGGAGAACAATCCCGCCTCTTACTAGTTAACATACTGATGAGTGTTCCCATGTTCACGAACAGGGACGGACTAAAAGTAAACACACAGAAGGGTGGTTCTGGAAGCATCCTGTCCCAGGCAGCTGATCACGGTGGCCCCGCACCAGGACACAAGCTTCTCTTTGAGTCGTCCTTGCTTGGTGAGGATTTCTCTAGTTTCCGACTGTCGCACGAACTGCCCCATTTACAGTGTGTGTGAGAAATTGGGCACAACAGCCGTTCTTCTCCCCACTCTTTTCATTCCTGATTCTTTGGTTGCCCTCCGGGGGAACGGCACATCTGGGTCTCAGGCAAAAAGGCCAACCAACCAACAACCCTTGAGATCTTTCTCAGGGTCATGAGTGGCCTGGACCAAGGTCACCGAGGAAACACAAAAGGAACGTTTACTGGGCCACGTGTGTGTGCGCGTGCGGGCTCTCCCAAAAGCTCTGTTCCCTTACGGGAATGGCCTTAGGAGGCTGATACTGCTGACTCCCAAGAGCTTTTCCCACGATTCCCCTCCCAAACAATGAGGTTTGCCTGCTAGCTGCTGGAGAGTTAGCCACGCCCAAAACACAGACTGAGGTCTCTTCGTTCAAGACCAATCCTAAAAACAGTGACATTTTAATGCATTGGACATGCGGTGCCTTCCACGACCCCGTGGGTCTATTTACTATCACAGACCCCACAAACGGCTTGACAGCTCGTGCTAGGGGATCATCCCTTCTCTTGCCTATCCCCAGAAGCACCGCACCCATCCACACAGCCCACATCTAAGCGTGTCTCCTCCACGAGCTGAAAAGAACGCCTCTCAGAATGTGAAATATGAATATAAAAGGGCTTCCCATGACAGTGATCACTGAATCACGGGGAATAAAGCCAGAAGGCGAATTTGCAATTCATCACATTATCCCTGTTGTCTCAAATATGATTCTTTTAAAGGCAGGCTGCATAGACACTCTTTCTCAAGCATTTTTTTTTTTCCTTCTCGTAGCACATGGTATATTCTTGTTTTTGCAGAATACCCAAATGAGGATAAAACGATAAAAAAAAATTACAATAGATTAATTGCATCCCTTGAATCACATTATATTTTTGGTGCATTAAAAAAAGGAGGAAAGGAAAAACCAACCAGCGTCATAAACTCAGCCTAGAGAACTGTGTTAGTGATTGAAGGGTTAACACGGATTTTAGAAGTGGTTAAAAATAGTATTAGAGGATTATACATACAACAGTTTGAAATTCATATGCATTGCATTTTTTTTTTCTTTAAAAATGGCAAAATGTTTGGCAAATGTAAGCAAATGACTTGGACTGTATGGGTTTCACCGGCTCTGAGCAAAGTCAGTCATAGCCAGGCGAGGCCCACTGCTTCCTGAGGTCACTCTGCGGGGCTGGGGGGGTGCTGCGGTGGGGGGAGATGAGGTGCTGGCCCCCCACACTTGGCTCCCCCCTCGGGCCCTCAGTCTTGAACATGAACATGGAGCTGGTGAGAGGTGCCAATTAGAGACTCCAGCACGGATCACCCATTAGCATCACTGAGAGAACTCTGGGGCCTTGAACCACAGGCAGACTGGGTGAGTCGTCTACACCGTGACCCATATTGCGAGAGTTGGAGGAGGGGGCACCCGCTCCTCCGCCTTGCACGCTCCCCACCCTCGCGTGGAGGGGGCAAGTGGCACGGGGTGTGTGTCCCTAGTGCTTATCCTGGCAATGTTGCCAACTTGTGATGTGTAGTAGACTTTTAAAAAAATTTGTTTTGTATGTGTATGTATGTCCAGAAACGTCCGTCCTCCAAGCTGGCCACCACGGTTCCCTGAATTTAGCAGTGCCTGTTGCTTACAGCTGTTGGCATGAAACAGCACGAGGTGCCTTCAAAGAGTAGACTCTGGGCCCCAGCAGGTTTGGACGTCAGACACACGATCCCACGCTCTCCTTATTCCGAATTCTGTCTGGCTCTGATTTTAAAAGGACAAAGGTCGTGTTGTGTGTGTTTGTGTGTGTGTGTGTGTCTCTGTACGGAGTTGGTTTTTTTGGTTTTTTTTTTTTTTTTACTTTTTTTTTTTTCCTAGGAAAAATGACCCTTGGATTACTAATACAGAGTTCAACCTCCTTCCATCACTATAAAACGGACTCCATGTTTTCACACCACTCATGATCTTCAAGGTTATAGATAAATTTTGTCCTATGGGTCTGGCTTGCGGGCACAGGGTCCCTCCCCAGATTGTCTAGGGTCAGAGTAGAGGCAAAGAACTCACTGGTGCTCAGCCCGCCCTCGTGGTTTTTGATGTAGCGTTTATAGTTTTTCCGCAGGCACTGCCACGTGGTCGTGTAGAGGACGAAGGCGGACGACTTCAGCACGATGGCGATGCTGACGTACAGGTATCTGTAGGCCACGTTGTCATACAGGACACAGGCGCCTTGCTCCCCGCAGAACGTGCTCCAGAACAGGCAGGTGGAGTCGATGCCGGCCCCGAAGATGAGGGGAGGGGGGATGAAGCCTGCGAGAGGGGGAAGGACACGTCAGGCTCGTCGGGCTCTGCAGGCTGGTCTCCCCGCTGTCCGCACGCAGGCACCGCGCTTTCCCCCTACAGGAACCCCCCTGCCCCCTAGGGGGCTCCAGGGCATGGGCTGGGAAGACTTGAGTCTGAACCCCAGCTCGGCCTTCACCTGTGCACGGTCTTGAAGCCCCCCGGGCCTCTGTTTTCACATCTGCAAAATGGGGATCCTATCACTCCTGCTGAGATTGCTTGAAAGATTGACCAAAGGAACCCCCAGAAAGCCTTTAGAAGGGTGCCTGGAACACACTAGACAAAAGGAACGGTGGCTGCTACTATTTTGAGAAGCAAAAGCCAGTCTTCCCGGAAGGGACCGTTCCTGGTGTGGAAGCAGTGCATCCTCCTAGACAGAAACGGAAGCAGGGACTGTACTCGGCGTATCGTGTTCTGGGGTGGCCCTTCTAAGGTTGTGTGAGTAGAGGGAGCCAGGACCAGAAGGGATCCAAAGTGGAACATGAGTACGCTTTACCTAGTGATATACACACACACACACACACACACACATGTCCTCGTATGTTATGCGTGCATACGTGTGTACGCATGTATCATTTAAGATGAAAAATGCCTGCATGCTAACAATTTCCCGTCCTCTTGACGTTCCCACTGCATTGAATCCTTTCATTCTGAGCTGGAAACTGGTTTTAAAACCTTCACTAGAAAACATTCCAAGCGCTTTCAACCAGTGATCAAAAGTGGCAGAGGGGTAAAAACTAGTCTCCTTCATTCACGTCTGTGTGTCTTGCCCTTGTCTAAACTCAAAGGTGATCTGTCCTGGCTGCCCATTTAAAAGCATCCAAGGCGTTCCATCCTAGAAGAATTAAATTGGAATGTTTGGTGTGTGGCCGGGTCATCAGGTTTGGGGAAACAACCCCTGGTCGGGGGAGGGGGAGCATTTCATCTGCACTATGGGAAATCAATGGAGGGTTCATTAATACAAATTAACTGCCTCACAAAAAAAGGATCCCTAAGGCCAGAACGTGGTGCCAATCATATCCAGGGAGAGACCTCAAAAGCAGAACGGGATCACTGGATGCAGGTGGCAACAGATCCGAGATCCCAGCGCTGGGGTGGCCTGCGATCCGGAGAGTTCTTTCCGGGCCCAGCCCTGGAGGGTCAGAGTTCCCACATTTTATCAAGGAAGGTCACCTCTGAGAATCTGATGCGATGAGATGCATTTTGCTGGACTAAGGATCTAGATCAACCCGCAAAATGACACTCATGTTTCAGGTGGTTCGTGGACCCCTGAAGTCCATTCACAGTCACCAGAATTAGAACACCCGTGTTATATAGGCTGTGTCCCTCCCTTCTGAGGGGCCCTCCAAGGGCAGCCAGGGAGGGAAAAAGCACTTTCTTGGTTCTAACAACAGGCCTGGAATGGATGTGGGGGAACTGCACTGCCTCATCAGTGCTGATGAGGGGGGGCAGAGCTCCCGGGTCCCCAGGCACCTCAGCCCTTAGTCCAGCCTTACCCCTGCCCAGCTCTGCCCCTTGTGAGCCTGGAGAGAAACCCCAGAAAAGGAATTTAAGCTGTTCCCTCTTTTCAGCTTGTAGGTCAGCTTGGGTCCACTGGAAGTAAAGTCCTCATCCCAGGGTTCTCTGCCCCAAAGTGTCTGAGGCTTTCCTCTCCAACCACTGGGCATTCTCCCAGTCCCTCCCACAAATGCCCTTCATTTAACTGAACATGAGCTCACTGGACTGTCCTAATGACCACACAAGAGAAACTAAGTCACATTCCACATTATGTAGGTAAAGAAATGGAGATATGGAGCCAATGAAAACTGATCAGGGAAAATGGGACAGATCTGGCTGTTCCTATGGCCTGGGGATCGTTTGAACCCATTCACCGATTTCTCTGGGTTTTAGGAGTTGGTGATAGCCCCCAAGTGCTCCTCCCTCCTCTTTCTTCTCTCTTGAGGTCACTTGGTCCTAGCTTGCCCATCACCGGGCGAGGAGTTGCTAAGACGGACAGCAGCTGACAACAGCTCTGCCTTGGGAAGGGACTGACAGCACAGGGATGCCTTGCGCACCCCGCCCCCCACCCCCCCCCACCCCGACTCCTGCCACCGCCCCCAATGCAAAGGGGCTGGAAGAGTTGCAGGCAAACCCACACTGGGCAAATCAGGTCCTATTTTCAGCACATGGGAGGAAATTTGCAATATAAAGAAGTCATTCTTTAATACTTGCTCCGACCAAAATAGCCCTCTAAAATGCCACTATGTAACTCCTTCACATATCCGTATCTGTGCGAGGGTTTTAAAAATATTGTGTTATCGTTAAAGTAGGGCATCCTTCTTTGTGCTAGCCGTGTCAACTTTATCCTGCCTACTGTCAAGCCCCATTACCAGATGACGCAGCCCTGGAAGGAGTCAGAAAAAGCCTTCAAACAGAAATTAGAAAGCTAAGTGCCTAAAAAGTTTTTCGTATTTTGGAGAGCCTTTGTGAGAGACAAGAAGGAACTTTAACTTGAGTCGAAAGCCTTGAGGCGAGTCGCTTCATCTCTTGGTGGTTCAGTTTCTTGATCTTTAAAATGGAGCTCATATCGCCTGCTAGGACAGGGTCAAGGTGAGCACCCGTACAAATTCGTGTTGTGCACAGGTCCGGTCCTCCCACGTGGCCAGAGCTCCTGTTATCTGATTCAAGCTATACGATCCGGGGTAACTATTTAAACTCTGGGTTTCATACTTTAAGTATAACCTTTATGAGGTTCCTTTTAGATCTCTGAAAAAAAAAAATACTGGCTTTTCTACCCAATTCACCTTCTCCTTTATAGTGACTTAAAATTCTTCCCCAGGGGCACCTGGGTGGCTCAGTAGGTTAAGACTCTGCCTTCAGCTCAGGTCATGATCTCAGGGTCCTGGGATCGAGCCCCGCATCAGGTTTTCTGCTCCGCGGGGAGCCTGCTTCCCCCTCCTTCCCTCTGCCTACTTGTGATCTCTGTCAAATAAATAAAATCTAAAAAAAAATAATTCTTTCCCAAAGGGGAGCTCTGGCTATCAGGTGTGCTGAGGGTACCAGCGAGGAAGAACTAACTGCATCTTAGCGGTTATCCCAGCACTCACCTGATTAGTCCCACGAGGGAGTCCCACCTATGGCTAATTCTCACATGCGGCCACTCATCATTTTGTTTATCACTCAGGTGGGCCAAATAAACGCTTGGGCCGTCCCTGCCAGCTACGACCTCCCCAGACGCCAACGGGAGACTCCTTTACAATGGCAGAAGTTACTGAAAGGAAACCTCATTAAAATGGAGTAGGGAGGACAGAAGGGGGAAGCCATACAACAGAACTGACCATTACAGACCCCAGCAGGGAAAGACGTACGTTGCATCTCCTACAAGAAATGGACTACCCGGAAACTCAGCCAGTGAGAACCTGTTCTCCATCACCCTGAACTCTTGCTCTTTTTCTCCAATGAACTTTCACTCAGGACCCTCCCGAGGTCCTCTTCCTCCTCCAGAAAGTTAACCTCCTCTCCTCTGTCTACGGCAGGACTCGCCTATGGTTTTGCGGTAGCTTACATGCCCCGAATTGCAATTCTGTTATTCTCAAATAAACACTCCCCCCCCTTTTTTTTTTCTGGTAAAATAATGGGCTTTTACTTTTAACATCCACATTATTTTAGTGATCAGAGTGGGATCCAGGTAAGACCTACAACAGCTCTGTGAGCAAACCGGTGCTGGTTTGGTCCAGAGCCAAGCGAGCTGCTTTCCTGCTGAGCTTAGCCTTTGCAGGTAGGTAAGTTTTCTCCTGGATTTCAAGCTCTGCTCTGTGTTTGGAGCTCTCCAGTCTTTATTCGGGATCTGTTTTAAGGCTTTCTTCTTTCTGAGAGTACTCATTTTGGCCTTTGGTAGGATTCCTTTTGGAATCAGGTCATTCCTGTTGAAAAACGGTGTTTAGGACATTTTTGTTTCTCTAGAGAATACATCTCTAAGAAACAGGGTCCCAGCCCTCAAAATGCTTTAGGGGAGTGCCCTCCCCGAGACCCCAACTGGTTTTATGTTTAAGAACGGCTGACCCCCTTCATGCATATTTCTAACGAAATGGGCCAACTTAACCAAAAGTCACTGGAACTTGATGGAAACTTCCATCTTCCTAAATCGACTCTTCTCAAAATGGATTGGGCAGGCCTGGCTGTAAAATTATCAACTGAAGGGGAAGCCTGTCTTGACTGGTATTTTGAAAATTCCAAATGTTATCAGGAACCTGAAATTTATATTAGCTAAGACAAAGAAAAAAGGGCGGCTGAGGCCACTCTTCCCCTTCCCTGTTCTCTTTGTCTCAAGATGGAGGGCAGCCCCCTGGCTCAGGTCCAACCTCTGACGCCATTTTCCTCTAACTGCTCTGCATCTCCTCTACCCTGCCCCACGTTAATCCTTTCTCTCCACTTCCCTTTCCCTCTGAAGGAACTTCTCCCTCCTCTCCCAGACGTCTTTAAAGTTAAGTCTTGGAGCATCCAAATAAGCCCCACATTTCTTTTTTTTTTTTTTTTAAAGATTTTTATTTATTTGACAGAGAGAGATCACAAGTAGACAGGCAGGCAGAGAGAGGGAGGGAAGCAGGCTCCCTGCTGAGCAGAGAGCCCGATGCGGGACTCGATCCCAGGAACCTGAGATCATGACCTGAGCCGAAGGCAGCGGCTTAACCCACTGAGCCACCCAGGTGCCCAAGCCCCACATTTCTTATGTTCCCTGGAATAAAGCCAAATTGTGAGCCATCCTTAAAGACTTTCCCAAAGTGACTGAGGAGCCCCATTATGTTTGCTCAAGAACTTAACAGAGTTATTCCCATTTACTAACCTGGTTTCTCGGATTTATTAGTCCACAGGCTTGTCAGTGAGGGTCTGGCCAAGCAATGGATGAAACTAGCCCAATGGGAATAGCCTGAAGGGGATTTAGAGAAAACAGACCCCTAACTTTTGGCAGGATGCTAGAACACTCTCTGGAA